CTCTGCCAATCAACCACTGACGCTCAGTGTTCCCATCTGATCTCAGTGGTGAGAGGGTTTTTAGAAAATGTGTGTTTCTGATTTCCTGGTCCTGACCTGTACTGCCTCTCAACCACTGAGCCTGCCTGTTCCTGTCTGAACAGTTTGCCTGAACTTTCTTTGGACTCCTGAACCTCTGAAACTGCCTGTTCCTGTTATGATCTGTTTGCATGACCCGGCTTTGGACTCCTGGACCTTTGAGCCTTCCTATTCTGATCTGTTTGCCTAATCTGGCTTCAGACTCCTGCTTGTTCTCTGTTCTCCAGGGCTGCAGCATCTTGTGGGCAGCCCACCGGATGTATCCTACCTCGTTCTCAGAACATTGGCTGAACTGTTAAATCAGGTTAGTGACTCATGCGTAGATATCATCATCCTGTCAGGGGCAGTCCTGATTAGATTGATGTCACTTTTATTACCTTGTCTTTTCACTTCCTGTTTTATTTTGGAATTAATTTCCTCTCTCATTTTAGGCAGCTTCACTTCCTGAGTTCCTTCCTGCAATCAGGATCTGCCACAGCCTAATGCAATTCACCTGGTGTATGTGCTCCTCTTTTGTTTGTTAGAGTATTTAGTTCCCACCCTTGCAGCTTCCCTTTGCCAGTTCGTCTTTGTCCTTTGAGCTTAGCGTTCCAGCCTTTTTGCCGGTTAGAATTAGCTTTCTAGTGTTTTGACCCCTGCTTGGATTTGGACCTGTCTTTGCCTCCGTTTTTTGATACTTCTGTTTCTACTGGATTTTTTGGTGTTCAGCCTTGGACTGAATTAAAAGAACTTTGAGTTTGTGACACATCCGGGTGATTTAAGTGGTCCCTAACCTGTGTTTCCTTTTACAGTGTTTCCTGTAATAGATGACCTAACCTCTGCTACTCATCATCCATAGTTTTAATAAATGCTTTTTGAATTATCCCAATGTCTGTCTTGCCTCGAATACTGGGTTCTCTGTACTGAGTCATGACATTTTGAGTGTAACCAAATGAGGAATAAGGTTTAAAAAAGGCATTGTGGACATAAATATTTAAAATAAATAATAAGCTGTTTTTCCCCATTCTCAATTGTAAATATATATATATATATATATATATATATATATATATATATATATATTACTGGAAAAAAGAGAAGAATAACACCAGTCAAAGCAGCACAACGAGAGTATAAAATATACATTTGTCTGAAAAACTCTTAAAAGCTCTGTCTATTACAACAGCAAAATTATTTATGTGACCATATGGGATGAATTAAACTACCAAATGTTTTGACCTCAACTAGATACTATCTATTAGTACTTTATTACAAGAAGGTACATTCATACAAAATATAAAAAATATAAAAACTAAAAGATATTTCTACAACCACAAATAATGATTCATTATTTGGAAAAAAGCAGCTGTCTGTGTAAGATCCATATGGGTGAGAAAATGAGAGGGAGCAAATTTAGTTTAAAATATGCATGGATAGTCGTGTTTTATGAGAAAAAATACATGTAAAATATGCAAGGAGTGAGAAAGCCATTGACATTCAGAAGAAATTAATGCCTGAAGAATATTTCTATTTTGGATCTGCTCATGCATTTCAGGCATAGATTATTAATTACAGCAGCTCTGTATAGCCTCACTGTTTCCTTCAGCATCTTAATTAATTCAATTACTTGTCAAACATCTGGATATTGTCGCTGTTTTGATTAATGAGCTACATAAAAAATATTTCATTTTCTCATAAGTCAATAATTTTGCATATTACGTATATGTCACAAAAGAGCTACGCATTTGACTTTAACCTTGTTTAATCACCATTGGAGCTGTCTGAATTGGAGGTAGGGAGCATCATGCTTCCTGTTCAGGCCAAATATACAGACCCATCCCTCCACATACCAAGCCAGCCTGTTGCATGTGAAAATATGTTGATTGCCCCTTATGGCCTCCATAGTCACCATATAACAGTTTCCTAGAACACCTTTCTGATGCAATGGAACAGAAGATTTGCATCATGAATAAGCAGCTGGCTAATCTGCAGTGTTTGGGTGAGACTATGATGTCAGTAGGGGCCAACATTTCTGAGAAATGTTTCTGACATAAAGAAATTCAGGCGCCTTGTACCTAGAAGGTGGACCTAACAGGGTTTTGTGGGCTGTTTCTGTGTGAATGCCTTTCAGCAGCTAAAGTTCTAATGGAATTATTTAAACAAATCAAAAGACCTTATGTTTCCTTGTTAGGAGGAATAAAAAGCGTTTCTGCAATGTAGGCAAACATAGCTTACCTTGGCGTTAGAGAAGTTACCTTGGCGCGCGCCGGCTACCATTCCTTCATCCTGTCCGCTCAACTGCTGTTAGTTTTACTCACATACCTGGAGCTACTACCACAGATGATCTCGCTCTTGAAATGGAATTGAACGATTCAGATTAGCTCCCCAAATGAATATAAGGGGTAGAGTATAGCCGCCTGTGGCCCGGGCTGCCTGTCACAACTCCAGTCCGCCGCGCGGATGACATCATAAACACTCAGCTAACATAAATATAAAAATATAACCGCGGATGTCTGGGGGACAGTGATTTGCCTACATGTTATGAATGCTGGCATACCATAAATGATAAATTATGAACAGTTTAGTTTGTGCCTTCAAGTTGTTGCCCATAGGAAGACACTACTTGGATATAACCTAACGGAATATCTTCAGAACAGCTCCAAATGACACAAAACTAATATGGGTGAGTACAACATGATGTAATAACGTAAAATCAAGGGCCCAATGTAAAAAAAAAACGGTGTTTCCCTTTAAGAGTCCAACATAAACTTTCATAAAGTTGAGGCATACAGTATATTCTATTAAAGAGTAAAAATTGGCTGAAAATGTAAACTTAATGAGAGTCATTTCATAATACCAGAGTAGCATGCTATTTATTATTAAATCAAAAGCTTTTTCACTACTGCTGCAACCAGCCTTTAAAGACGTGTTAATGCTGAAGTTGCCTGATTTAAAAAGATATTTTGAAACCCGACTTTTACATTATTTTTCTTAAAAGGGAATAAATAATGAAACCTTATATAGGATAAATAGAAGGTATTTCTGAATCTAAAATGATGAGACTTTTGAGTATTTTTACATATATATATTTTAGTAAAATTTGCATGAAGCAGATATAGGGGGAGTGGTTGTGGTTAATCATACACATCACTATACTAACATACAATATACTAATATCAAAGACGATAAATGCAGAATTCATGCTCTTTTCAGAACTAGATTTTGTCTTATGGGGTAAAGAGAAAGCGTGTCTCTGCAAGTCATCTGGGAGTCTTCAGGGAAATCATAGATAAATAACAATTTTAATAAAAATGTAAAAATTTAGATATAAGTGCTTGTAAATATCAATTTTAAGCAGAATGTTTATTGATACAAGTAGGTAAGTAATGACGATGCAAAAGATTTAAGCCCCAGATTTCAAAACTGAACTATACCTTTTATTTAGAAAGCACGGATGTTAAAATGTATGTGTCTATTTGTTAGCAAAGGCTGTAGGAAAGTATAGTCTGTCTTTATTTTGAAAATACGATATTTTGCTCATTAATTTTCCTGTGTGAACAGTGTAGATTGACCCTGAGGTTCTGGTGTCTATCCACTATCTGCCAACCCTCAGTGTACATTGGTTATTGCCTGGCCACCCTTATAAAAATGTTCTGGCTACGCCTCTGTTCCTTACCAACTTCCAGGAAACATATTTTATTTGAGATGAACACAGACATCCCAAGTCTCCCGGAAGTTCTGGGAGTCTCCCTGATATAGATAGTTGTTCACGGACGGATCAATTTTCCTGGATTGTAGACTTTGCAAAGTGGTGTTTTTTAATGCAAGCGAGAGCGATCAGGCAGTACAATAATTCATTCCCCATGTGCGGATTAGAACTACTGCGATTGCGCAGACACAACAAGAGAGCGCGGGATGAGGGGAGGAGGTTGCTGGTGAAACCTGTGCAGTGTATCTGTCCAAAGCGATGCGTTCAAGGTGACTATTTGTCAAAGAGACAATAGATGATTGGATTAGTCAGAAAAGTTTCTGGTTACTCTCTGGCAGTCACCTAGTTACCACTCAAAGCTGTGCATCCTGTCAAACGGCAGAGGTTCAATCCTCGAGTAAAAAACGAAAATATAGGACCAATTTTACAGCAGAATATACTAAAGTATATCCACGTCTAGTGAAGGTGAGGAACAGTGGCAGATCTAAACCAAATGTACCAGGGGGCCAGGAGGGGGCCAGCGTGTTTTCATGGGGGCCCAGAAAAGCATGAAATAAAAAACAAGGCAAGAGATTCAAATATATTAAGAGAGCTGCATGAAGTGAAATTTCTTTTCAATTGGGTTCAATAAAAATTCTATTTCTTATGAGGTCAATATATATTTATAATGTAGGATTTGATATTTTTTAAATTAGAAACTACCGTTTTCTATAAAATTTGAATCAGAACTCAAGAAAACTGTTAAAACCTATCTGAAAAGATTAGAGCATTTTTTTTATTTGTTGTGGGAAAAAAAACATTTAGCAGATGAAAACTGGGATCCTATCTCAATACCACTGAAGCTATCACCTTATTGTTTTTGAATAATTAGCAAAACAGAATTTGTAAACAAAAAGAATGAACTTGGGATGTGGGGGTGCGTTTTTTTGTTTGTTTTTTTTATTTTTTGGGGGGGAACTTCGTATGTCTGTGAACAGCACAAAATGATTGGAATTAAAGGCTTAAATTAAAAGATTAAGTGAAATAATATTTACTCTATAATCAGTTATTGTACTTTCTACTTTTGGGCAGTCATCAATTATTTTGACTGAGAGGGGAACTCTTGATAGGAAAAAAAAAATGCCCAAATGCGTAAGCAAGTCAAAAAAAAAAAAGGTTGGGAAACACATTCAACCGTTAAAACTGTTTGAAATGGACATTAAATGCGTTTTCCCCTCCACGTTGTTGAACCTACCGAGCAGCGACCCGATCAGGATGAGAACCTGGACGGCGGTGGTGAAGTCCCGGTAGGCTTGCTCCGTGCTGAGGCGCTCCTGCTGCTCCTCCAGCCCAGATCCCTCTGCAGGTGGACTGCTGCTGCTGCTGTCCCACCGGCCCGACGCGTTCACGACATCCAGCCAGAGGTGGGCTGCTGTGAAATTCACCGAACCGTCCCCCACCGTAGCTGCCCGGCTCCAGCCATCCATATCGATCACACAGAGAAATTATTTCCTATGCAAGACTGGAAGATTCTGCTCGCAAGAACTGAAAAACCATGATCTGGTTGTGTAGGATTGATGAAAAGAAAAAAAAAATCTATACATGGGAGGTTGAAAAAATCTAAAACGTAGAGGCAGGGAAAATAGGTGCAGTCAGTAATTAGGAGAGATTTCCAAAGCAAATCTTTAAACAAGGTAATAAATATATATATTTACTCATAGCGCAAGGTGAACCTCAGCTACCCGACCCACATTTTCCCAATAGAAATGCACGGCAGAAAATGCAGGTCAGTGCAAGCCACGCACGCTGGGGATGGCTGGATAGTGCTCCCTGACATGCAGAGCATCTAAAGCGTCACCGGGCTGCGAAATGTCCACGATCCACAGAGGAATTAAACGCGCACCGCCAAAAACACGCACCCTTCTCCCTTTCTTGCCCCAGACATTATTGTTGCAGGCTGGTTGATGCTGCGTCTGGATGGCGCGCAGAGACTGCGACCAAATACACTGTATCCCAGTTTAAGGTGAAAGAATGGAGAGCAGGGCCCCTCCTTCTGCTGTTGTACCGAGAAACTCCACTGAATCTTATGAATCACATGCAGGCACGATGACCAAGTGCATTCTAAATAAATGATCATGATGAATGGACTGTTAAACACTTCTGAAGATGAAGCCAACTGCATCATTTAATAGCTCTTTTTTTATTTCTCATACAAGGAACAAAACAGAACTTGCTGAAAAATGATTTGGGATTTTTTTTTTAAACCTAAACAGTGGCGGATCTAGACGAAATGTACCAGGGCCCAGGAGGGGGCCAGCATGTTTTTATGGGGGCTCAGAAAAGCATGAAATAAAAAGCAGGGCAAGAGATTCAAATATATTATGTCATGAACCAAGGGCAGAAGGACCCAGTATTCAAGGAGAGACAGTCAGTAGGAAAATTCAAAACATTTATTAACATTTATTGAACTGAATATAACCAGGAGGAAACTGTCATGTTTGGCTTAAGGTTCCTAACCCACATGCAGAACACACTGAAGCAGGAGAAAAGTTCAAAGGTTTATTGAAATATTTCTGTACAAGGAATAAACAGATCCAGGGGTTAATCAGATCCAGGACTGGTCACGAGTGGAGGATGTGAGTGAGCAGGACAGTACCTGTTCTGGAGTTAGAGCTTAGCGGCTGAGGGGGGGAACCTTGAGGGTCCAGAGGCTGTCGGCTGCCTGACGGCTTGGCGGAGGCAGAGCTTGGTTTGAGTGTTTGCAGATCACAAAATAGAGTTTCCCTTCCAGATTCTTCTGAGAGCGGGCAGGCAGGTCTTTGACAGGAAGGTTTCTCCAGGGTTCTTGAGAGATCAGACAGGCAGATTTACAACAGAGAAACTCTTCAGGGTTTCTGGTTTCAGGCAGGTTCAACCTGGGAAGCAGAAAGGAGACTTCAGATCAGGTTCAGGCTTTCAGGGAGTCAGAGATTCAGACAGGCAGGTTGGCTCAGGCTTGCTAACCGTAACTGGCAAACACTCTGGCACTGGAGAGACTTCCTCTGCCTCCTTAAATACTGATCTCCTGATGAGCAGACGAGCGACAGGTGGTGCAATCAGCTCCGGCTCCAGGAGATCTAGTACGCCCTCTGGTGGAGAAAGTGGACAGACCTCCAGATCCCAATAGAAACAGGTGAGAGGAATAAATTATAATTGAGGCAGGGAGGGAAAACCACAGGTGAAAGGAATGACTAATTAAGGGAGAGCAAACAGGCCAGATCATGACATATTAAGAGAGCTGCATGAAGTGAAATTTCTTTTCAATTAGGTTCAATAAAAATTCTATTTCTTATGAGGTCAATATTCATTTATGATTTAGGAATTTTACATATTTTTGACTTAATTTAAATTTAAAGTATAATTTTCTTGAAATTTTGATTTAGAACTCAAGAAAAACTGTTAAATTCGTCTGTAAAAATTAGAGAATTTTTTTTATTATTTGTTGTGGGGGAAAAAAACATTTAGCAGATGAAAACTGGGAACCTACAGTATCTCAATACCGCTGAAGCTATCACCTAATAAATAATTATTACTCTATAATCAGTTATTGTACTTTCCACTTTTGGGCAGTCATCAATTATGAATGAGAGTGGATGCCCAAAGGTGTAAACAAGTCAGAAAAAAAGGTTGGGAAACTCATTCAACCGTTAGAATTGTTTAAAATGAATATTTAATGCATTTTCTAGTGATATAGTTAATAATATAACTCACTTCTGATGATTTTGTGTTCACAAAAACAAGCTAAGTTTGATTTATAGCTGATTTAGAAATTTAATTTAGGTGCCAACTTCAAATTTGCAAGCCGGCTGTGATGCTTATATTGTGTACAACACTAGAGGGTACCCACATGTCTGGGTCTGACATAAAGCAGCAGATATTTGTTTAAGGTGTGACTAAAATACTTTAGAAACATATAGACACAAGGAATTTGGGTTTTCATTACCTGTAATGGGTAGTTATCACAATGACAAGAAATAAAGAATTGAAATATTATAGTCTATGTGTAATAAATCTAATAAATTCAAATTTTACGTATAAAAATGAAAGATAACAAATATTTCTTTTTTCCATATTTTGTTTTTTATTCCCCTGCATTGCTCTCTGTAGCCATAAAGTCAACAATGAAGGAAGGGAGAAAGAAAATTCAGAAATAGTCAGAAAAAGATCTTTAGATATTTATAATAGTAACCTCAAATTGCACCATTTTAAGGTGATTTAAGCAAAGCATTCAGATCACTCATTTGAATGTGTCAAATATACAGGTGCTGGTCATAAAATTAGAATATCATGAAAAAGTAGATTGATTTCAGTAATTCCATTTAAAAAGTGAAACTTGTATATTATATTCATACATTACATACAAACTCATATATTTCAGATGTTTATTTTGTTTAATTTTGATGATTACAAATGACAACAAATGAAAATCTCAAATTCATCATATCAGAAAATTAGAATATTGTGAAAAGGTTCAAAATTGATGGCCCCTGGTGCCACACTCTAATCAGCTAATTAACTCAAACCACCTGCAAAAGCCTTTAAATGGTCTTTCAGTCTAGTTCTATAGGCTACACAATCATGGGGAAGACTGCTGACTTGACAGTTGTCCAAAAGACGACCATCGACACCTTGCACAAGGAGGGCAAGACACAAAAGGTCATCGCTAAAGAGGCTGGCTGTTCACAGAGCTCAGTGTCCAAGCACATTAATAGAGAGGCGAAGGGAAGGAAAAGATGTGGTCGAAAAAAGTGTACAAGCAAGAGAGATAACCGCACCCTGGAGAGGATTGTGAAACAAAACCCATTCAAAAATGTGGGGGAGATTCACAAAGAGTGGACTGCAGCTGGAGTGAGTGCTTCAAGAACCACCACACACAGACGTATGAAAGACATGGGTTTCTGCTGTCGCATTCCTTGTGTCAAGCCACTCTTGAACCACAGACAGCGTCAGAAGCGTCTTGCCTGGGCTAAAGAGAAACAGGACTGGACTGCTGGTGAGTGGTCCAAAGTCATGTTCTCTGATGAAAGTAAATTTTGCATTTCCTTTGGAAATCAAGGTCCCAGAATCTGGAGGAAAAGAAGAGAGGCACTTCATCCACGTTGCTTGAAGTCCAGTGTAAAGTTTCCACAGTCAGTGATGGTTTGGGGTGCCATGTCATCTGCTGGTGTTGGTCCATTGTGTTTTCTGAGGTCCAGGGTCAACGCAGCCACATACCAGGACGTTTTAGAGCACTTCATGCTTCCTGCAGCTGACCAACTTTTTGGAGATGCAGATTTCATTTTCCAACAGGACTTGGCACCTGCACACAGTGCCAAAGCTACCAGTACCTGGTTGAAGGACCATGGTATCCCTGTTCTTAATTGGCCAGCAAACTCTCCTGACCTTAACCCCATAGAAAATCTATGGGGTATTGTGAAGAAGAAGATGCAATACACCAGACCCAACAATTCAGAAGAGCTAAAAGCCACTATTAGAGCAACCTGTGCTATCATAACACCTGAGCAGTGCCACAGACTGATCGACTCCATGCCACGCCGCATTGCTGCAGTAATACAGGCCAAAGGAGGCCCAACTAAATACTGAGTGCTGTACATGCTCATACTTTTCATGTTCATACTTTTCAGTTGGCCAACATTTCTATAAATCCTTTGTTTTTATTGGTCTTCAGTAATATTCTAATTTTCTGATATGATGAATTTGAGATTTTCATTTGTTGTCATTTGTAATCATCAAAATTAAACAAAATAAACATCTGAAATATATGAGTTTGTATGTAATGTATGAATATAATATACAAGTTTCACTTTTTAAATGGAATTACTGAAATCAATCTACTTTTTCATGATATTCTAATTTTATGACCAGCACCTGTACATAGAAACCAATCAAATGGAAAACAAATGTTCACAGATTCATACCAGTTTGAGAATCTCTCTATTGCAAGTAAAAACAGAATCTAATTAAAATCTACCATAAGTCTTTTAAACCTTTGGAGTTTTATGAAATCCTACAAGTAGAAATCACTCATTCATCTCTCAGCTGTGTTGTTCTTTTAAGCTTATATGCTAGTGGTAAACAATTAGCGTCTGAATGGACCTTCATATGAAGGCATTAACAGGATATTTAAAGACAGCTCGTTCTGTGCTTATGGAGAATGTCAAACCTTCTGAAAGGATCCTTTTGCACTCTGCAGTTGTTGCTTTTAGTTCACCCTTTTAACAGGAGCATGAAACATTCCTCTTGGGTTTGAGGAAAGTACAAGAAGAAGGGGAGGAGACATTTCTGCATTGCAGAACAGTTTACAGAACAATAGATAACAGAGTACGTCATGTGAATGTTTGTCATATTTTCAGAATTCCTCCAGGAAGGAGGTTTTTGATGTGATACAATATGAAAAGGTTCTAGGCAAGTATAATTTCAAATTGTTGATACTTAGATAATACGTTGGTTGTCTAGAATTTCAAAAATACTTGTGTTTTGGTAACAAAACTGGATAAAACCTTATGCGTATGTGCCTTGCGGGAAAAATTCCTAAAACCAACCATGACAGCTATGTTACATTAGCTAAAGAAAACCATGCCAAATCATTAAAGATGGAAAATAAAATAAAATAAAATCTCTTGTAATCATCAAAGTGTTTTGGGTTTTTTGTGGGTTTCTTGAACTGTATTGTTGTAATAGTGTAATAGTTCCTCTCGCTAACATGTGGGTGTATTAGCTCATAAATTGCGCAACAATCACACAATATTTGGGTATAACAAAAAAAAAAACTATTAGTAATAAACCAACTTACTTTTGGTTTCTAGGCCTTCAGTCCTGTTTTACTGTAAACAATAAATTATCAAGAAGACTCAGGCTTGAGCATTCAGATAACCAAACAATAAACTCAATCTTAGCAAGTTCCCATTAAGTTTCAAAGTAATGTTCACAGCTAGGTGGTTTTAATCTAAAGGTGTGTTCACACTAAATGCAAACTAAGCAGCTGGAGCAAAGGATTCC